CAAAAAAAAAAAAAAAAAAAAAAAAGAAAAGTAGTAACCCTTAAAACTAGTCTCAGATATAGATTATCTGAATTTTATTGCATGCATTCACAGGCAAAAAACTGTCAGATCTGGAACGAGTTACCTCCCTGAAAGTATATAATTGGTTTGCTAACAGACGGAAGGAGATCAAGAGGAGAGCCAATATCGGTAATGTATCAGAGAGGCTGCTGTCTCTTTTGAGGCAATTATGGACGTTGCGTTTATTTTAAGAGTGACTTCCGTTTAGAACTGCAGGTCTAAATGATCCTACCTCTTAAGCCTAATGAGACTTGCCCTTACGTTTTTCTTCATTGCAGTTTTAATAATGCAAAGTTAATATTAATTACACTATGTGTATTGTAATAAGAATGGCATTATTTCTGAAACTCATTGTTCTCAATATGCTAGACTCTAGAATGTCTCTGATCAGTTACTCCTGGGGTGCATATTAAAGATACTTGTAAGGGCTCGAGAGAGGGAGTGTGATAGCCTTAGCGTCTTCGTTATTACTGAGCTATATGAGCTAGATGTTAAGAAACATGTGATTAACAAAATTGGAATGAAAGAGTCTTAATATACAAGGAACCTAGTAAAAGGCGTTTTTTTTGTTTTTTGTTTTTTGTTTTTAAAGAGAGAGCATTTAAGAAACATGAATTGATGAGATTGGGGTGGAGGGGTGGTTTTGAGCTTCTAAAATTGTGTTTCATTTATAAACGTACTTCCTTCCCCTTCATCGTTACAATTCTCAAGTGCTTTATAGAACCCCAAGACAGGAGAGCTGTTTAATTAGTCGGTAAGTATTTATGAAGCACCTAACAGTCAGCCACTCAAATGTACACGCATAGCAGCAGGGGCTCCAGAATGGGAAACGTGTTCTTCCCCTGACCTCTGTGCCGCCGAGTTCCATCTGTCTGCAATTTAAAAGAAACAAAACATAGAGAGGAGTCTAGGTTTTTGTTTAATTACATTCTAATTTCCTCAATACAAATTCAGTGTTTAGACCATTATGGCGATGTAACAGATAATTTAGGGATCTATTTGCTTTTTTCGAAGAAGCAGCAATCCTGGAGAGTCATGGGATAGATGTACAGAGTCCCGGAGGCCATTCCAACAGTGATGACGTCGACGGAAATGACTACTCAGAGCAGGTGAGCAGCGGAGGGGAGGCTGCCGGATACAGGGTGGGTGGGACAGTGTGACAATTCCGTGGGTGCGTTTTGTACGGGGTGGGGGAGGGGAGGCAAGCGAACGTCCCTCCACTCGGCTCCTGTGTCTAGTTAGATTTTCGTGTAATTTGAAAGTGAATTTGTGAGAAATCGTTATTCACCCACATGGATTTATTGTCATATAACAGGATACTTGGCAAGTACGCAATGGGGAGGAGGAGGAGGGAAGAAGTTCAGAGGGAGGCAGAGAAGCAGAGAAGGTAGAAGAAGAGAGGAGGATCTGATCCAAACAAGCAAGTTCCACCGTCCGCCACACACACACTCACTGTCCGAGAGACACTAGGGGCTGTGGGCAGCTGAGACCCTGCCTGGGCACGCTCGGACCAGCACACAGTAGAAGGGCCCACCCACTTCGGCCCCGTTGCCGTGGGAACCCTCGTGCCGAGAGAGTGGTTCCTCCAGAGTCTCTGGCACATGGACACACACACCCTCTCATAAATGCATGTCTGCCCACCTCACCCTGACTTACTCTTCACTGCTTAGGGGGAAAATATATTTAATTGTAGCCACTGGATGGAATAATTCAGTAACTAAGAATGTGGGAATTTCCCCCCCACGTATCTGTTGACAGAGTTCATTACATTTTGTATAGGATTTTAAACTCGTTCCATTTGGAATATGAAGAGAATGTACGGTCTCTTCTCCTAGGCCCCAGCAGGAAAACATTTGCTCTTTCCTATTTGATGTACACCTTTACCTTGCCCCTCAGCCAGCTCTTTTAATAGAGTCCACTGTGGCCTTCTGCCGACCGCTCTGCAGCCCCTGTTTACCAGCTTGAGCATAGACACTGCCGGGGTACCAGCAATTCCATGCTGATCCCTACTTAAACTAAAGGCCAGCCTGTGCGAATGAGCACAGAATTTCCCTCTGAGGACTCCAAATCAGAGCTCCATGTTTCACTCAAGAGAATGTTTTGTGAGTCTAAGTGGAAACATTCCTGTTAGTTTTTAGTCTACAAATGTAGGTGGATCACTTCCACTTTTTCTCCCAGATGCCCTAAGGGCAACACATGCCATGCTATTTTTCGCCCAAAGGGACTCACCCTTTTCCAAAGCTTTTTGATGCAGAGTTCCCCTGAAGATGTGACAGGTGAGAAACTTACCCCTTGTGTGAAACACCATCTTCAGCGCCTGACGAACACCCTGCAGTGCCAGTTTCCTCCACAGCTGTATTGTTTAACACATCGGCGTTGTGGAGGGCGAGCTTCACACTCCCTCCAAGTAAGACACCTGCACTTCCCTTGCCCGGCTCCCTTACAGCGGGAGAGTGCCAGGCAACATTTTCTCGCGAAGCCATTTCCAGCAGTTACACTTTTGTCCTGTTGTAATTGAGAGTTTGGGGTTTGGGGGAGGGTGGTTTGTTTTTTACAAAAATGCATTTTTATCCGAAAGGTGTTGGTGTCTGTAGTTTTGTCTAGTTTTCTCAGTTGAGTAGGGAGATACTATGAATTCTGATAATCTGTTTGTAAGAGCACCAATCCAGAATTTAAGCTCACTAGTTTGGCCTTCAATAACTACTGCTGTATTTGTTGCAAACTTGGAATGGTCCAGGTTTGATCATCATCCCCAGCAATCTTTCTGATAGAAGGAAAGAATTCTCAGCAAGAAAAAAACATTTTAGTGCTTTTTATTTGTTGAATCATAAAAATGCCAACCAGAAGTCTCTGGACCTATATCCATTCAGTGTCTACTTAAATACATTTCACCTCTATTCTGTCATGACGCCCCCAACTCTGTTTTCTGCCTTGAATGTTCTGCCTCCCCTTGCCCGCAGCATGCCTTTCTGTGAGCTAGAGAATTTTACCAGTGCACTAATAACATTTGTTTCTTATCTCTGCACATCCAGGACGACAGCACTAGCCATAGTGACCACCAAGACCCCATCTCATTAGCTGTGGAAATGGCAGCAGTCAACCACACTATCTTGGCATTGGCCCGACAAGGAGCCAGCGAAATCAAGACAGAGGCCCTGGATGACGACTGATGAGGGAGGATTGGACACGAGAAGTTAACTTAGTTTAGACGTAGCACCTTAGCAGACTTTCCTCGGTCCTTAACATGTGTTCTTACAGTATAACTTGCAGTTTCTTGTATGTCAGTTAGCCGTTAGGGTCTTGTTCTGTGAAGATGGCATGGTGCCCTCAGCCTTTGCATATACTCTCAGTATTAATTCCCAGTAAATAATAACCAACCAACCAACCAACCAACCAACCAACCAAACTTCCCTCTCCCAGACCCCGAGGCTAGAAAATCTTGCTGCTCTGTCTTAGCATTCCAAGAAAGTGCTTCCAGGTATTTAGATAGCCCTCAGTTCTCAAATATTAGGCTGTGTGTATTGGGTACCTTTAGATTCCTGTAACACTAGTCTGTACCCCTTTTCCTTCCCCGACACTGGTAGGATGCAAGCTGAGGTAGTGTGGCCCAGGATGGACAGACGCCATTTGGGGAGTACCCGCAGAGTAAAAGGGACACTAGAACCCCCACCTCAGTGTGGGAAGAATTGATTTCCAGCTGCAATAAGCCGTGCCTCATAATAGTCACACTGTGGCTAGATTATACTTCTTTGGGTGCTGTGCTAAGAATGTCAGTGGAAACACTCGATCTCAGATTTTGGTTGATGTTAACATGCCTGACACAGACATCCTTTCCTCTCACAAGCTGTGTGACTTAAGTAGATAAAATACTGCCTCTGCCTTTGGGACCATGATTAAAACAAACAAACAGAAAAATGACAAAAAACAAAAGTCATTTTAAAAAAACCCCACAAAGCCCAGCTTGAGAGCACTGGGAAAAAACATGAGCTGAAGGTCTAAGGGATGTTAGGTCCAGTTCTCAGAACCACTATACAGTACGTGGCACAGGTACATGCCAGCCTGGAAAGGTGCTGGAGGTCGTCATGGAAGCTGCTTTGCCTCCTGTGTCCCCTTTCCCTGCTACCAAAAAAAGGCATTTCGAGGATGGAGCTAAGGTCAAAAGTGAGTGAATGAACTTCCAGTCTTTGTATCCATTAACTGAAGCCCCCTCAACATGAGAGGTTGATAGAGGACTTTATAGCGGGATTATGCTGACTGACTCTCACAAACGCAAATACTTTCCTAACTAGGAGCAGAAAAAAAGCAGGGGAAGTTTGCCACTTATGCGGTGGGTCTGCGAGATACAACAGGATGTGACTGCTTTGGTGTTCTCCTTACTCTGTCCTTGTAGAGGTGTGAAAAGCTATATTGCTACAGGCAATTTATTTAATAATTGGAAGCCATATTGATAATGGATGTGGTAATATTTGTAAAGTTTAATCTACTTTAAGCGGCAGTAACTAATGGAATTTTTTTCCTTGATCACATATGTAGCACTTGTTACTTTTTAAAGATATTTATATTTGATAAATCTTTTTTTCATTTTGAGAACTCAAAATACCAAACAGTGAACTTGAGTTATAAAGTCACCCTGTGATCACCTTGTCGTCCAGTAGCAAAATGATGAACTATTCATGCGTCCAAGAAAATTGCATCTGCTGGCCTTGTATGAAAATGATCTCTTGGCATCCCGATTAAAGGACACACTGTCACTGTGGGTAAGAGGAAACAGCCTTCAGTGTAGCAGCGTAGGGTGCGTCTGAAAGAGGCACAGCTGCTCTCTCTTTCCTGCCTCGTTCCCTCTCTCCTTCCTACAGACAACGAAGCCTCGTTTAAAGGGGAATATGGGCCTGGCTGTTAAGCAGGGCTTCATCTATTTATCCATTGCCTGAAAGTGATTCTAAAATTGAAGGAGGGTGCCATTTCCTTACCTCTTCATCCTTCCTCCCCCACCAAATGTTTTCAACTTAAAACCACTGAGAGAGAGAATGACTGGCCGCCTTCATTTCTCCTTTCCTCAGCAGTGAGTTTGAACATCTGCCAGCTTCTAGCTGGTCTCACTCCACCTAAGGCACACGCTGATGAGATCACCTCCACTGTCTGTTCATCCTGCTTATGTCAGTGTGAGGAAGCCTTTGAGAGGCATGAAGGTGCCACCTTCTGTGGGTCTGTGACTTTATAGAGCTACAGGCAGGGCCTGGGCCTGCTCTTGTCCTTGGATTTCAGGGGGGAAATGTATATATTTTTTTCCAGCTTCCAAGAATTGAAGTAAAATGGAGTAGCCTTTTCTGTTTAACTATATTACTTGAACCAACGAATTCAAGAGTAGCATTTGTTATTCTCAGGAATGATCGATCCCCCCACTCATTTTCTTTCTCGGTGTGTTTGACTTTTTATTTCTATTAGAAGACTGTTATCTTTCTTTCCTTTGATATTATTTAGAAAAAATACAACATATCTTTCCATCTTGGTGGAACTTTGTCTGCTTATTTTCAGTTGAATCAGAAAGAAAAGGAAAGAGAAAAATATACTGTCTGACAAGCCACATCCATGATTTATTGTAAGGAGATTATTATAATTGATAGCTTCTTTAAGATGGGATTGCTAGTATCATTTGTTCTTGCTGGTCCTTTTAAAGAAACAGACTCAAACTGTAAAGGCAGCTGCAGTTTCTAAAGAAACAGGGTGATTGCCAGAGACGAGCTAAAAGGTTTCATTGATTTAAGACCTTTAAGGAAGGAAAGAAAGCTTCAAAGAGTAAAGGAGAGTATCCATGAAGGCAGTACCAGGTGCTTACCTGGAAATCTGAGAAAAGTGAAAGAATGTGTCTGCCAGTGCGGGGCAGCATTGCCTTGGGTTCAGTAGGAACTGGAGGAAGGAGCCCTGCACGTGGAGTTCTTTGATTAAAGAAGACTGCCGGTCTGCTCTAACATCTACTGCCTTACATACAACTTTTGCTTTTTCTCCAGAAGTGAAAATTGAGTTCTTTGGGGCCTCGATTTAAATCTACCATTGGTTTTTTGTTTGTCATCAGGTTTAACTCTGCTGTCTTCTCCGGGCTACCTTAGTTCTTACAGTGGCATATGGAGTTGCCACTGTCTAATTTGTAATATCTTTGGGGAGTAAATTTTTTTCTTAAGCTTTTTCAGGCTTAAGAGGTGGTATTAAAATAGAAACCCTAAACTGCTCTCTTACTGAAGGGAAAATAGCCAGGCTCTTAAAGCATCCCATTGTGTGCTTTTTGGTTTTTCTGTCCTCTTTTCTCACTTCCTGCTGTACTTTTTTCAGGCCCCCCGAGGACTCTTTCAGGGGCTGCTCCTTCCCAGGTGAGGAAGACTAAACGTGTCAGGTGGGGAAACCTTGCAAGCAGTTCAGGTAACTTGTCTGTTATTCTTTTAAGACACTTTCATTGAATTATACTATGGTCACATGGGTAAATTTCCTACCCTTCTTAAAACACAGCCTTACAAAGGGACCCTTTAAAGATGGACCATCCTAATGCCATTTCTGCCCATCTCTTGAGAATCGTAACAGCAGATGAAGGCCAGGGAGGGCTACACAGTACACTCTGATCTGCGACCTTCCAGGACCCGTCAGTACCAAGTAGACATTGTGGTTTGTTTCAGCAAAGCCTGTAAGGCCGGAGCACCCCTTAAGGCAGTTTTCTTCAAGTCTCAGTCCTTTGGGTGGCCTCGTCCCGCCTGTGGAGTCTGGAGAGTTCCCACATGTTGTTGTTCGGAGGGTGGGCTCTCCCCCCCCCGTCTTGCAGTCCTTCACAGAAAGAGAGATCCTCGAACAGGAAGACCCCTTTAAGCTCAGGCGCGGTGATCACCTAAAAGGGACGTGAGGGAGGGAGCAGCCCCTCAGTATGGGAGGATGCAAACCCAGTCCCCCCATCCTGTAGGTTTATCATGGCAGCAGTTGCTGATGAACAGCACCTTTACCTCAAAAGGGACCACTCATGAAGAGCTAGTGATACAGTCGCTTTCGTTCTCCCTGTTTGGCCTCTGTCTTTACACACCTCCCTCTTGGATTTCAACCATCAGGCACCAAGTGTAAGTAAACAGACTTTCATTTCATCAGGAATCTACAGTCACATCCTCTCGGTCTGTGAACAGCTCCTCTTCTCTTTTCCTCTGGGCTCCAAACCAAGGTCTCATCTTGAGCTGACTCCTTGCTGGAATTTTTTTATCTTTGCAGCAGGCAGAGTAGGTGGGTGTGGTCCATCTCTTCACACAAACACCCCTTCCTGTCTTGCAGCCCAGCTTTTTGACCAGCTACATATTCTGCTGACCAGCTACTCTCTCTGCCCACAACAGTGGAAATAATCCCTTTTTCATACATGATACCCCACCCCCGTCCTTAAAATGTGAACGTCAAGTCCTTCTCTCTCTTTGGTCTTAAGAAGGGTTTGGGTGGAAGCAGTCTTCCCATTTAACCTGTGGCTCTGCCTTTTAAAATTGCTGTTTGTCTCTTTTTGTTGTTGTTCAGAGAGCCACCAGAGTATTTTTTTCCCCAATGAGTCTCAACAGATTCTTAGGCAATAATTTTTCTTCTTATTGATGACCTTGTGCGCAGTAGCACTCTACATTCAATAGTCCTGGCCCTCTACTCGTGCGTTGGTTTTCTGTGTTAATCACTGTGTGTGATTTAAATCTTATGTCAGAGTGGTGATAGAGTTTGTCATTTTGTTGTTGTGATTATTAGTAATGTTTTACTACTGTATTCACTGGGGCTGCGTTGAGACCAGCCAAATCCATTTATAGCTTTACTGAGCCGCGTTTGTTTGTCAAGATTTCCCAAGTGAACGTTGGGCACATTGACCAGCTCCCGCTGGTGGTATCTCTGCGGGGCACAGGGGTGGGGTGGGGGGGGTGCGGCGGGGG